CATGAAATACTCACAATGACATGAATCAAAAAAGTATTCAAAGTGTGTAAATAAAGCAAGTATTGGTATACAGGCAGAGGAGAGATCTGTTGATATTAGAAAAAGCTGAAATCTGCCTAGTTAGCAGGCTGCAACTTCAGACTGCCCAAAATCTAACCGGACCATTACAGGTCAGCTGATAGTTGCTACAGCCTCTGATTGGTCAGTAGACTAGAACAAGATATCAGCTTTTGTCCAGGATTTCAAAAATTATACAACACAGTCAACCCTTGCTTTTAGGGGAATAGATCCGGACACTCCTGAAATACAGTGATCTCTTCTCTGGAATCAGAAAGCCTCTGGATGCCACAGAAACTCACCTAGTTTATTCCCTGAAAGCTGCCAGTCTCACAGAGCTAGTAGATTTTACAGACAGTTGCCTCAATGTACCATATTACTTTTAAAGCTGATATTGTAAACAATTATTTGTTAATTTTTTGACGAACCCAGTTTCTTTTAGAAGGCCTTTTTTTGGAAAAAAAAAGAAAGAAAGAAGAAGAAGAAGAAAAACCTCTGTTTTCATATTGGCCATCTATAACTGCAAGTCACAAGGATAAACATTTGCAGCCCTTTCATCTCTGGTATGCCTAAATAAAAAGAAAACAAGATATTATTCAAAGGAGTCTGGCATGTTTGGTATGTTTTGCTCAAACTTGAAGACTGGGATGATTCAAAAAGGAAACAAAGAAAAAAAAAACATTCACCTAATTATTCAGTTGCCCAACGAAGGAACAATGAAGGCTCGTCTCTAATTTTTTCTTTGTTTTTGTTGTGTTTTGTCAACCACTGATGGATGGTTCTGCTTAAGAGAGGAGCTTCTTTTATTGAGACAAAGCAAATCTGAACATCTATTTCCAGTATTAATCTGGAGGTATTTTCATGGTTGCCGTGCCGGTATGGAGGTGAAGGCAATGTTGAAGGCTAAGAAATGGAGATATAAGCCCTTTCCTTCATCAGTAATCATGGGAAATTTCAACCCTCTGCCCAACAAAAGTGATGGGCTGAGATATTGGTAAAGACTGAGAGAGCCTACTGTGAGTGCGGTCTCCTGTGTCTTACTGAAACCTGGTTGAATCAAAACAACTTGTACTGGATCAGAAAGGATCTAGCTGGCTTTACTTTCATGAGATCACTCAGAGATGCTGAAGCTAGTGGCAAGAATAAGGGAGGAGTCTGGCTTAATTTGTCAACCAGAGATGGTGTAACACATCACTGTAAAGAAGAAGTTGTGTTGTCCAGATATTGAACTGTTCCAAGGGAGTTCAGCCATATCATAACAATACTTGTAAAAATCCCACCCAAGGCAACGGCTGAAGTTCCATGTGATGTTCTCCATGAAACAAATGCCAGGATACAGACTCAACATCATGAGGTACTTGTAATAATACAGTAAGATGCTATATCAAGTGTTCTGTTCTATGCTGTAGTCTGCAGGGGAGGCAGTATCAAACACAAAGACGCAAGATGACTGGACAAACTGGTGACAAACCTGGCTCTGTGGTTCAGATCAAGCTGGACTCACTGGAACATGTGATGAAGAGATGCACACTGAGGAATGTGAAGGCTATTCTAAAAAACATGGATCATCCACATAATCAGAGTTAAGTGTACTTGCTAACACCTTCCCCAGCATAAGTTTGCACAACACATTTAGGAATTGCTGTCCTGATCCTTTAGCTTCAGTCAGTATTTACATTAAAAACTGACTTGCCATAGCACAAGTGTTACAAAAAACATTAACCATCATCTGAAAAGGTTGACTACAAACCCCAAGGAACACAACTGGCATGTTTATATCTTTAAATATCCCTTAGTTTCTTGTACCTACATGCTTACTTAAATACAGTAGCTATCCTTTTTATAAGGGTGAGTTGTATGATACATTTTTACATGGGAGTTAAAATGCTACAGCATTGTCAGTCCTAGTATAGGTTCATTTATGCTCCCCATACGTATGAAAATGTTTCAAACCATGGCTCGGTCACTGCCCAAATACTTCCATGCATGCTTTACATTGACATGGATGGTAACCATTACATCCACCAGGGGGCAGGCCGGAGTCAAAAGTTTCTGACAACAACAAACAAAAAGAAACATGGCGACCGCGGAGGAGCTAGTGATAATGTATATTTTGCATAGGAGACAGAAACAAAGGCAGCACTGGAGGAGGTGGTGGTCAGTCAGGCCACTAAATGCCTCACGGTTGGAGGACAGAGAATTCTTTTGTCCAGTAGTACCCATGAGAGGAATTGACGATGATTGTCATTTTCAGTACTTATGGATTTCCTCCTCAAAAAGCCCAGCCATTGTCTTCTCCATTTCTCTCTAGAGAAATCAGGTATACGTATCAGGTAGTGACAGCAGCAACACTGCCCCCATGGTTTCCGGTGGCACTGCTCCATATCCATAAACTTCAAGGACAAGTGCAGAAATATGGGTGAAAAGAACGTGAAGCATGGATGGAGAGCTCCACCTGTGCTATCTGGATCTGTTTGTAACGTTGAGCATAAATGAGCCTTAATTGGACCCTATATGTAAGGATCTTTATGTGCAAAGATGTGAATCCCAGTAAAGTTAGTCAATTCTCTAGAACAGGACTTTGTCAGTGTACTCCAACAGCTAAGGGACACATTGCTGTTTTCTGATGGCTGCAGTCCAGCTGCTCCCTGATCCCAGCGATTCCAGCGCTGACTATCATAGCTCAATCTGAGCGAGGAGGAAGGAGGCCCAGTGCCCGAGCATCAAATCATCATCACATAAAACGGTCCTGACACCAGCTAAAAAGGGAGATGGATCATGTGGCTTTGTGGTGCTGGGGAAGTTTGTCCCTTGATAGAGCCCTTAACTCAAAGCTACTGCACCCCCTCCTGTTCCCATCACCATCGGACACTCGTATAGTACACACACACACACACACACACACACACACAGAAACACATGCACTGCCTCCTTCCTAACAGAGGTAATTCTCTCTCTTCAGGGTCAACGGCTTAACAAGGCCAAATCATAGCAACCACCTCTTAGCTTAAGCATCCCTCTGACACGTGTGTGTGCTTGTGTCCGCTTTTGTGCATGATTGCAATAACTGTAGTGTAACTTTAGACCACAATAAGAGAAATGATATAACACAAGCAGCGGGGCAACAACCTCCGCTGGTATTTCAATATGAAGATGAAAAGCAGTAAGTCATTTTGACAGGCCTGGGCTTGCAGGGAGCACATGTAAAAATGATGAATGTAAAGAGAAATATCCATAAGTGGCACAGCCTGCTGTGGTTCCCATACATGGCTTTTACAGAGCCTAGTGACATGGAGAGGGCACTGCATGCACAGACATAAATGACAGTTTTACAGTCTTCATAAAACTGCTGCATAGAGAGAGGCATGTACTTACATTGTCCTGTGTCTTCAACTCTCAAGAAAACAGCAACAGGAAGCTTCTTTGGGTATTAACATGGGTGAACTGAAACAGCAAGTCCATATAAAGCAGGGGAACTGAGTAACAATTACTCAGCATCTTAGAGACTTAATCTCCTATTTTTATTTTTTTAAGAGAAATGAAATTAAAGCATTTTATTTAAAGACCCACTTCAATGAAAATCATGTTTTCTTGTTGTCTACATGTTCATATGGAATTTTTTTGATGCTACAGGACATATCGTGAAAAAAGTAAGTGCAAATTTGGATTTCTGAGTATTTCTGCATTCAAATCGCTGTGAACCTCTGGCAGACCAAAAGAGCAGGCTCAGAGACAGTGAGATTTCCTACTTAGTAAATCCAAGCTCCGTCCCCGGTGCCCCACTATGCAGGCCAGACTCGGAGAAACGTGTGCGTTAGCGGATTGCAACGCTTGTAAGAAAGTTAATTATGATCTTAACTTTCATCATGTCCCCAAAGACATTAGTGTCTCAGAGCTGAATAGCTTCTATGTTACCTGCCACTTCAACAACATCGGCAATGTTAGGCTACAAGCTAGCATGAAGAGGAGTGTACAGAGCAGCACAGACTCCGCCCACGACTCAGAGGCGAATTGCTAATGCAGAAGAAAAGTCCTCAAAAATAAGACAGGTAACGTGATTTTGGCTTCAAACTTAATCATCACAATTTGTAGACCGCTAAAAACACTTTAAGTAGTAAAAAAAAAATAATTAACATTACAGCACTCTGTGTCGATCTGTCTCTGACATGGTTAATGCATCTAGCAAGTGTTCAGTGTTTCTTCACCATAAGCCATTTTATTTAAGGAAACGCGTAAACCATCTCACCCACATTGTCTGTTTCAGTCAGATTTTCCTCAAGTGTTTGGATGTAAAAGTTAAAAGACCCTTGGGCTAAATTTTCAACAAATGACAGTCAATCCAAAGAATCTTAATTTTCCATGCTGCAGATTTTCCACATGTTAAATTGGTGAAACATTCTCATGTGGGATTTAACAAAAAAATCTGCCTTTGATTGTTCAAAGGGGTATGATTATGTGATTTAGAGCTCAGGGTTGAAGCTTAGGAGGCTTGAATATGTGTGAACTGAACTTTGAGCTTGCTCTCTGTTAGTGTGAACTTGCAAAACACTGATCTGTGCATGATTAGCCATCACCTCCATTTAGAATATTAATTAACATTGATTAGCTCTGAGCATATATTTAGTTTATTTAGTCACATTGTAGGAACTTGTGTTTGCAGGTGCAAATCTCAGGTCGGTCTAGACACCCTCTCGCTTCAGTCCCATCCCAGAAAGTGTTAATTTAAACCACTAAACTTCATTGTGATATCTATAATGGACCAAGTAAAAGCACCTCCATTAGTATAAGTACAGAGTACCTCATCTTCATCTCGATTCTCCAACATGATTTGCAGTAACAGCCACACACTACAGTACAAGCTAGCTAATTAACTGCGGACTAAGTCCTCTTTCTTCTTTGTCTTTCCTCCTGTTTACATGGTGAGTGACAACCAGCATGAAGAGCTTCTACTGCAGTCCTACCAGGAACCAATCACTTCAGGGTATTATGCTCATTTATAGCATCAAGAATACTGGCTCACTGCTGCACTCCTTATTGTAACCTCAAATACCTCTCTAACTTCTGCAGTTATAGAGAGAAAGCTTTTTCACAGAAGTATCTTTATAGATACATTAAATAAAGAAAAAGAGAAATGAATGAGGTCAAATCAGCAAAACTTATTTTTGTGAAACTGTTCTTTCAAGGATGTCATAACTTCTACAAATGCTATATCTAATGAGGTGACTGAACTGCCAAATTTAGCTTTACTGGAACACAAATGTAGCTCTCTAAAAAGTGATGGTGTAACTGACAGCAAAACTGGCACCTACAAGGACAGACAATTGAAAAAGATGTGAGCTCTCTGGCTTATAAGTCTTGTTTCTCAAAATGAAACCAGATTGACTTCCTCTTGCACAGCTCTTCTTCGATTTATTGTAAAAAGGAACTCTCATTCTCTGTCACTTTTCCACAACCTGTGTCTACCAAAAAGTGGAAGGTTAAAGGCCCTGTTTTTGACTTACACCATGATGAAATTCAGCCTGTTGGTGTTATTAAAAGCTCAGTGTATTTCCTTGAATGGAGCCGCCATACAGATCTGTGTGTTGTTACCTTCACTTTGCACTGACTGCATCCAGGCCTGAGGAATAATGAGGAGCCGCATGAAACCTCAGGGGTAATGTAGGCAGCTCTTGTTGTACAAGAGATAAACAAATCATTTGCTGTAATGCCTATGTTATCTAAATAATGATATCACCGTGAATAATGTTATTTGAACGACAATAAATGGCTGTTTGATAAGCTGAGCGGGGATTTACAGTGTCTGTGGGGACAAACATGATAGTAGTGAAATAAATGTAATCCAAAGCACGATGTTGTAATTCAATCTTAAGCTCGGATCTTTACGGTACAGCCGGGGTCTCCTCCAGCAGCGGCAGACTGCCATAGAGCGCCACATCAGCCAGATAAATTCTCATGACAGTCTGCGAAATGCTCCCATAACCAGTGACACTGGATGATTTCCCGCCTCTGACAAGCCCCAGTATTGAGTATGATAACACTTACTTTGTCTTCATCCTTGGCTGGAGTATAATATCAATCCGTTTGATGATCCAGCAAACCGAGTCGAGCACTTGTGTATCAATCTTCATACATCGCTGCCTAGTGTCTAACAAAGAGCCCAGAATGGGATCATTCAATCACTCGTGGGCCGCGCTGCGCTCCTTACACTTGGCCTTCTCCACAGCTCAAGTGTTTCACTCGCTGTCAGCATCCCTCCTATTTTTCATCCCCTTCTTCTCCCTGTCTCTTTCTTTTTCTCGTGAGGGGGATAAAGACACAAATTATACATGATCACAGAGCTGCGTGCTTGTCATAACGAAATGTCAGATGATCAAATAGGATCTGGAGAAGCTTCAAATGGCGTTTCTGCCTGTTCTCCTCTTCTTCATCTTTCACCTTTCTCATGACCTAACTCTACTTTTACTACCCATAAATCACTGCTGCTTTACCTCCTCACCCTTCACCCTCACAGCTTAAATCTGTCCTTCATTATCTGTCCCCCTTTATTTGAAAATCAAAACCATAACACACTTCTCAAATTATATAAACCACAGTGAAAACTCAACTTTGACCCAAATACAAGTTGACATTTTGAGAAGTGGGCTTATTTGTTGATTCGAATGATTTGAAAATTAATGTGTTTATAGTTACAGTAAAATTCCTTCAGTTTTGACGGTTTGACGGTAACACTTTCTTTGCAACTTTAGACTCATCAGCTAACTTGCAGATCATTTAATTAACAGTATATCAAACAATGTCTTTGGTAATCAAGTTTTAAACTATCCTGCTATAAATTTATAAATTTAATTACACTTAACATTGTCTAGGGGAACTGACCAATCAGAATCAAGCATTTAACAAGGCCAGCTGATTAAGGGAGCTGAGCGATAAATGGTCTTTAGAGTTTCTAAACGGTGTTTTGTTCTTTTCTCTCTGTTATGTTAATTATATGTGCTAAGTATAAGCTAAAAAGCTGCTGGAAATAACTAAAAATTTACTACAGGAGTGACTCTTCTCATTCAAAATGTGTTTTTCTGAAGATGGAAATGTAATCTCTTGAGGAAGCAGCAACCTCTAAGGTGATTCTATCAAGTTTCGAGAATTATTTTAGCACATTAGTTTGCTCTTGCCAAGTTTTTAAAGTATTTAGATTTTTTGAAGCAGTACTGTTATTGAGGAAAAAACTGTTCTCTTTCAAAACAACTCACTGCTGTTCAGCTGTTGAACAAAGAGAGAGAGAGAGAGAAAAGTGTTTCTGAGTTGTGGAACTCTAATAAAAATTTGGAGTTACATCCAGACAAAACATATACTTGCTTGGCACCATATCATCATCTAGCTTCGGCTAGGGGAACACTGAAGTAGGCTCTGAAATATCAATTTAATCTACTGCTACCAACTCTGGTTGAAAGTGGGGTCTGCCATGGAAATACAATATATATTATATATGTATAACACAATGCATTTAAAAAGCACCAACCTCTAGAATAACCATGCAGTTAAATCAACCCTTCTGTTAAACAACAAAAAAACATTACAGATGACATAATTTCAAGATTGTGAATCATGGCTAAAAAGCACTGACCACCATTGCAATTTGCTCATGGGCTGATGTCTGTCGGGAAAGTAAATATCAGTCAATACCAATGATAAACTAAACGCTGGTGCATCTCTAGTGTAAAAACAATCCTTAACATTTAAGTTACAGTGTATTGAGTTTGTTGAGCCAATACTGAGAACTGAAAATAATCCCTTCTGATGGCCAAACACCAATATTATAACCAACCATTCACGTTTGCATTTTAAAATGTGTATTTTCTGCACACCTGGGGGTAAAGAGGCTAAAATATGGTGAGAAAAGATACTAATATATCAGCATTGTCACTTGTTTATTCATTTTAACTTAAGTCCTTATTCTTTTTATTGATAGATAGATTTGAACCTGGGGCGCCTGTATTGTGGACTACACCCTCTGCTAATGGGGCCTCATGCAAATCAAGGTCAAACCAGCACCCCATAACTTTATTTTCTTTGTTTTACTAAAACAAACACCGTCCCTGAGCGTACTGCATTGTACATTAGTGTTCTTTTGGGCCTTCAAACTTAAAATTCTTAACAAGACTTTTGCCGGGGAAAGTCCTACCTCCTTCGCCCTGATTGGCTAGAAAAGCTGGAAACGACATTACACGCTCAAGCCAAACGGTCAGCACTTATAGCCAATCAGAGGCAATAAGATAAGCACATGAAACTATGGTAACAACTGTTAGCATATGTTAGCACAGATGAAAGTTAAAACAAAGACGTCTAGCAAACTGTTAAAGCACACAAACTATCGTCATATGAGAAATCCGGTGCTATGACTCTCCATAAGTTGTCCTTCAGGTCGTTATCTTTGTAATGTTTGTATCTTTTATCAAAAAGCACTTTGTGCCCCGACACGTAATCAATCAGCCAGTCGGCCATGTTGGATATACCAGTGAAGCTGAAACGCAACAACATGCAATCTGATTGGTCAGAAGTGGACACACAGTATGCGAAACTTTAAAAAAATCGACCATGATCCGAAAAAATAAATGCCTCAATATCGCAGGACGGGAAAACGTCACTGATGTGAACGCTTGTATTAACAGGATAAGGGTTCGAAAAAAAAATATTGATGTCCGAAATAATCGCATGACAAAAATGGTCCCGGTGTGAAAGGACCTTAACACTAACTTAGCATTAGCTTTTCTACAGTCAGCCAGTTAGAGGGGTGGTTTATCAAATGAAAACTACTCACCCTCCTTATCTTTGAACAATTTGCTTGCGTAGAGTGGAGACTTGTGTAGAGACTTTATCACAGAAACATAAATGTAAAAAAAAGACTTTTAGTTTCAGTAAATTAAAGTTAACACTTTGCTGTGACAGTTAATTCACCCACCTTCTGTGCGCCAGCAGTATCGTGTGTGTGCATGCGTGTGAGTGTGCATGCACTTGCGCGGAATGCAAGAAGATAGCATTGAAAACGTGGACTGGGGTTTCAGTGGTTCAGGTTTGATCTCAATAAACGAGCAGAACGGATTTAGTAATGAAGCTCGGACACAGCGCTCTGAAAACAGCGCTGAGTGAACAGGCTGATGTATTGATGGAGATCCAAAATAATGATTTTTGGTAGCTATACTAACGATTACAATGAAACGCTGAAGCAGAGGGAACTCAGCTCCTACTGGCCATACTGACGAGGTGAAGAGGCGGAGCTAAGCTCTGGCCTAATTTAATGTCCGGGTGGAGCTCATACTGCCACCTACAGAGTCAAAGTCTGGAGGTCTAAAGGTAAATAAATGAAAGCAACCTTAGTTGTTAGTTTTAACAGGGTAAAAAAAAACAAAAAAACTATATTATCAGTGAACAGTATGACGATCCATTATCTTATAGCCATGGTCCATGTTTTACATTTTAATGAATGCTGTTTAATTTCATTCTTAAGCATAAATGATATGATACAATCACATTGGTTGTTGTTTTAAGACACTCAGCTGATATTTCCTGCAGAATAACTAAAGCTGTAGCACACTGGCAGTTTGTGTATCTACTCTGACCATTGACTGTGGCTTTGCAGCATTGTTTGGTGCACTGTGAAGACAACTATGAGGCTGTGCTCACCCTGTGAAATATAGCTCAATCAATAGAAGCTCAGCAATCAACTTTTACTTGTCAGTTTTGATATATCCGATCATGGCTTTGGGATGTTTTGCGACGTCTAATGTTCTGTGAAGATGGGCTTTTCATATTCTTTATTGTTTCTCCCTTTTTTTGCCCCCATCGACAAAAAAATGTGTCCACACTTTTGTGAAATAAAACCTCAGAGGGAGAGAGGATGGGGGAAAATTAGAGAGGTGGAGGGGGGGTGAGGGAAACAATGAAATTTAACCCGTTTAAAACTGTATCATTTTCAGACCATACCTCAGGGCGCTGGGTGTTTATCGGCAGGACTGGAGAAGCAGAGATCACCGGACTGGTAATTGTTTCCTCTAAATCTGCTGAGCTCTGAGGAACACCGAGTGCAGTTTTTCATCAGACAGAGAATGAGAGGGTAAAAGGACAATACTAAGAAAAGCAAAAATGCTTTAGTCCATCATGTTGGATTTTATCACTTCATCTAACAAGTGAGTAAGGCCACTAGCCTCGCTCACAACATAATTATAAACACAGCTTTGGCTTCTGCTGTGTTCACTGGAAAAATACTCAAGTATGGTATTGTTTTTTTCCACAAACATCATTTTCTTTGAGCAAAGCGACCTGAAAGCAAAGAAGGGGAAAATACACCATAAATTGCATTTTAAATTTGATGGAAAGAGAAGCAGAATTGAGGTGTTTTTGAAAAGCACCTTAGCACTAACTTGATTTGACATTTTCCTATTGAGTCAAAGCTTTAGCAATGGGCCTGATATCTCATTTAGCTGTAAAGTGATGTGCGCTCCACGCAGCAGCAAAAAAAAAAGACATCAGAAAAAGCAAAGTACTGCCACTCTCCGCTCGGACCAATTTGTCTCCATCACTCCACTCATATAAACACTGAATGATTTAGCTAAAATTGTGCCCAGAATCTTATGGGGATTTTTTTTCTCCCCACTTTATTTTCATTATACTTGCGAGTATGTTCGAGGTTTGGATTCTATGCGTGCGTTTAGCTTTGAAAGTCTCAGATTTAGTGCGCTGGTATTGGCTCATTTTTCATATCCATTGTTGGCTTGTCAGAGTGTCATAGCTGTTCCACAGAGCTGTTAGATCAGTCCAAATGTATAAATCATCCAGGATCTGACACACTCATTTAATTTGGGGGGCCCTGGTGCAGCAGCGGGCCTATTAATGAAAAATCCCTGCTCTGTTTGCTGAGTGGGAACATTCAGCCTTTTTTATTTTATTTTTTATTAACGTTGATATTCTGTATGATTTCCCTCAGTAGCCTGTTGGCTGCCAACCTGGCACTTTGTCATTTATCATCATATGTCATGTTGTTCGATCTGTTGAATTCTTTCAGTCTAAGCTCCTTTACGAAAATCACTTTGCATATTTAGAAAAAAAAAAGGGGCAAACTCTGAGGGCGCTAGGTGAACCAAACCTCTCACATTCCTCTGTGCAGCAGTGGTTCCAACCCTGGAGCCTGTGTTATTGTTTTCCATCTGTGAAATAAAGTAACAGGTACTTAATGTACCAAAAACAATTTGTACAGCAGTTCTTTTTCCCCATTGAAGGCGTGCATGGCTCGCTGAGGGCTCCCCTTATCTCAGCGAGGCTAATCCATTTTCACACTGCGCTCCGGCGCTCTCATTTTACAGCTGAGGAGCTCTCCGGCTCCACGCTGGGCCTGAAATGGGACCCCAGTCACTGCGGCCCCTTGGAGTTTGCGTAGGTAAGTGTGCAGAACAAATGCTGAAAAGTCTTTAAAAAGTTAAAGGGACTAGTTTGGCTTCTCCCTCTCTCTCTTTTGCCTCTCTCTCTCTCTCTCTCTCTCTTTCTTTCTCCGGGTCCCACCTGATCACCTACATTTTTCCTGCATTTCAGAGTGAGCGGCTGTGCTGTGCTCTGTCACAGGAGAGTGTTTGCACACAGAAAAGTCCACAGTAAGTAAAAAAAAAAGGTGTTTATCTGTGCATTTCATTGCGCTGATGTGTATTGATTGTATTTGCTTAGTATGATTGATTAAAATGTTTATGATGGGATGAAGCTTTGTCAGTTTTATTCACTTGTGCATGCTGAAACAAAGCAAGGAAGTATTAATACCACATGTGTATGCTGCAGTATGAGCCATGTAAATGGGAGCAAGTGGGATTGATTGTGGTTTAAAACGATCACCACAAAACTTGATGCATCAGTGTTGCACATCAAAAAAAGCCTTGATTAGGATGTAAAGGATCGGGGAAATAAATGGCTCCTAAAATTACTTAAATATGATTTAATGATTAGATACGTTTTCTCATACATTAGGCATCAATAGCACAAAATCTATTATGGAAGTAGAATCTTTCTTTTCCGTGCAAGACTGCCATTTTAAAATTAGAAACATGCCAACATGAAAGCAGCACCCCTATTTCTTCTTCAGTCAAAGAATGTGCATCACAGCAGACTGCAGCACAACAAAAAGCTGGCAGGTCTGCTGCTTGATAATGATATTTAGGTCCCACAGCTTCCACATGGATTGCTAACTAATGGGGGCCTTCTGGTGGTCTGGTATCATGGGTGCAGGTTGGAAGTCCTTCCTCGGGCATCTTTGTTTGAGACGGTCAGCCAAGACTAACTAGGAACATCCAGATCGGAATTCATGCAGCAAAAAAGTGCAAATCAGTTTTTGCCCACAAAGTCAGTAACTAAGACAGGAGTGCAGATTTTGAATTTAAGAAAAGCTAAATGACAAAAACATGGAAAGAAGGCAAAACTAAATATTAATGCAAGATTACGCAGATACGACACTTAAAGAATCAAATAATTTGCAACTTATAGGTGTAACTTCCTCTGTGTCTGATTTTCTCCTTTGGTATTCTGACAACAAACCCGACAAAACTGAAAAACTGTTTTGATTTACTTGCGAGCCGTGCTCCTGCCCCTCCACCATCCCATCATGCCAAGTCATTTAAGGCATCTGTGGCCTCTCTGGCCCAGCCTCTGCAGCCCCATCAACCCCCCGCTGCGGGCCACTACAGCGCATGCCCACTTGGCCGGGCCAGCCGGGAGGGCAGCCGGGCCAGGACTCCTAGGACTCCCAAGCATCCAAAGCAGCTGGAAGTCCCATCTTCCCAACCGGCTTCTCAGCAAAACAATCAAAACACAGAAAATCTATAATAAATCAGTCTCAGGCTCTATCTGGGAAAAGAAAACAAAAGGGGGGCACAGTTGAGGAAAAGCTGTCTGAAAACGGAAAACAATACATTTTATTTTGTAGTTTGAAGAAAGCAGGTCAGAGAAATGTTTTTAAGGCTTCAGAGCTGCAAGTTTGCACCCTCATACCCGCTCAGAAAATGAGCCCCCCTTATCTGCAAACAGTTGTGATCCTTTATGATTAATGTTTAAATAAAATAGGAAAAAGGTGTGATAAATTCAGACCTCTTCAAGTCTGCCTCAGACCCGCTCTTTATACCAAAGGCAGGGTAGCTGTAACGTGATTACCTCTGGGTTGTACATTTGCAATTGTGCATAAGTGAATGTGCAAGTCTGCTGATGTGATTCACAGTTCAAACTTACTTAGCCTCATTGAGTTAACCCCTCTAACCTAAACAACTGTAATGGAGAGCATGAAAAATCCCCCTCTCCCTCTCTTTCTCTCGCCCCTTTTCTCGCACCCCCTCTACACACACACACACACACACACACACACACACACACACACACACACACATATTATTTAGTCTGACCACCCCAAAGCTAATGCAGTTGACTCAGAAGGTCATCTGCAGTTCACTGAGGGGTTAGAGATAAAGAAACACGCATTCTCTTTTTGTGTTTGCTCTCATCGTCTGGGGATGAAAAGGTGAAAAAACAAAAAAACAAAAAGGAACCACAAAGGTGGTGGTGGTGGTGGTGTTGGGGTGTCAAGATGTTAACAGATTAAATTAACCTCAAGGTTTTATTCTTGGATTTATTTCTTCATCATGAACCGCTCTCATTGCTCCAATTCGTGCTGTATGACTCCTGTAAATCAAATCACTTTACAAGATTGTCTTTAAAAAGAAAGTCCTTCCTACAGTGGCGTCTATTTTGGTGGGCTAACCACTGGGCCCACTTGTTTACATTAAGATGAGCTGGATTCTTTCCCTCCCTCACTCACTCTCTCGGAGTGATTTGAAGTTTGCTCTCTCATCCATGTAACTAATGCCGACCAAAGCCAAGCTAGACTGCATCTGAATGGGGTCTGGGAGCTGCTCGAGGAAGAGATTCATAATCACAGGCAACATGACAGGTGGATCAAATTTCTAAACTTTTTGTGTGAGCGGCGACAGGCGATCAGTCAGCGGGCCAAGACGGTGTTTTCTTAACCCTGGAGTTGCATTAAGTTGACATCCTGCTGTGGCGGAACCAGGTGACATATTGATGTGGAGGAAATATAACAGGCGGGAAGCTTTAAGACTTAAGGGCTTGGCAGGGGGAAAAAAAATCACAAGCGGGAGAGGTTTGGGGGGTTTTATGGGTAACAGTCAAACAAAGCGACCATCTTTATAGCATGTCTGTGAATATGCCTGCTTCAGCGGCGTGGGAAAAAAAAGCAAGAGAAGTTTGATGCCGTAAAATAAAAGTGCAACAAAACAAAAGGTGTGCCACAAAGTGAGAGCTAAGATGCTGCTCTTTGTGGCTGCTGTATAAATATATTTCCTAAAAAGAGAGAGAGAGAGAGAGAGAGAGAGAAAACATAATTTATATTGATTAATACACAGTCAACACCAAATGGACACCCTACAGCAATTTTTCAATTTAGACCTTGAATGGTGATGGCCCCCGTAAGCCGGGGAAGTATATTGGTGAGTCGGACTAAAACCCCTGCATCAAATCAAAGTGGAGTGTGTTACCATAAGCATGAAAACAAACTGCTCTCACGTTTCTAAGTACAGAAGTCTACGTTCAGTTACTTTGTCACAAATCACTGCAAGGCTTCCCTCCCAATCCGTCATTTCGGGATTACCGGGAGTTTGCGTGGCGCTGCCGCCGGCACACAAGCCTGTCACCTGCTCAGTGGGGGTAATAATTGGTATGAAATAGCGTTATGGACAGCTGAAAGGTAAGTGCTCTGATTGACTGGGAATCCACTCTGAGGATTCCTGTTTTACACTTTGTCAGGGTCCCCGCTTCTCCTTCACTCCTTTTTCTTTTTCTTCTCTACCACATCTCCTCTATACTCTTTTTTTTCTTTTTAGTGCATTGGATTTGTTGTCATGGAGGCCCTGACAATCTTGCTGACACATCTGTCAGAAAATGATTTTTTTTTTTCCAGCCGGCCCCTTGATTGACTCCATTTGTGGGGTGTAACTCTATCAGAAAACGCCAGTCTCCTGCTCATTCAGTCATCCTTTCTGCGATCAGTGGAATGGAGAGTCAGGCAGAGACAGCGAGGACAGAGATAGAGATTAAAAAGAGATGATCAAGAAAACAAAGTTGAAGATTTCACTGGAAAAGAGGTGCTTATAAAAATCCAGGTTTTCCACATACATTACAGTGTTTCCTTTTAAAATTTGCGTCACCTTCTGCACTGACAAGGGAGATGAGAGTGAAGATGGGGAGGGAGGGCGGGCAGTGAGCGGTCACGCTACACAGCCACGCACTGCATGCCTATATAAAACAAAGAGGCGTAGAAATCTGCACTAGACTAGGATGTGCGTTACAAAAACACACTACACGACATGCCTCTGACAGGGAACAAGGGGGATTTGTTTCCCTTTGACATCTAAAAAAAAGATAGAAAAGGGATTGACAGAAAAAGGGAAAATACATTAGTACGTGGGGATAAAATGACAATGATGAGGTCTTAAAAAGTAAGATCTCAATATGTGTGAGCTAAATAAATGCCAATAAACGAGACATGGAAAAAATAAAGATGAAAGTCCTCTCAAATGTCAAATGGACACTACATTGTCAGAAATAAAATGAAGAAAAAAAACCCAACATGGCTGTCTTTTAGATCCCCAGTTGTTTTTTATGCCTTAATGCAGCAGTTGCTGTTGAAGCGGCGTCTGCTGCGCTCTAAGCCTCACATATTCTTTTCTATGGCTTATCAGACGGGCAGCCAGAGGAGCTGTCCGGTCTCATTCTCTCATTGGAGAGCACATGTCAGGACCTATTTGCCACTGGTTACTTTGAGAGTGACATCAGTGATGACCTCTTGACCCCCTGGCTGACGGAGAAATGCTTCTGCAATAGTTTTCCATTACAGAGGCGAGAGAGCACGGACACAAGCCGGATATGTTGAAATGGGAAAATAGGAAAACTGGAAAAGGCATTTAGACCTGTATTTGACCTATCATGTTTCAGGGGTTTGCGGGAGCCTTTTATGAAATGAGGATTTGACCCATAAACAAAGCCTTTGTCATCTCTCCTCTGTGATTTCCATGAACGTCCACCGATAAAACAGGCATCATTACACCAATACGCTCAGCATCTATTTATTTTGCTCGCTTTTGTCCTCCTCTTTTTCTCAGTGACATAAACCTGCTTGCCAGTCTGTCTATGTGTGGATCAGCCCTGAATGTATCTGCAGAGTTTCAAATTAGGGGACAAATTGTTGTGACGGAGCTTTCGACATGCCTCTCAACAGGTTGGATACCAGCGTTTCATATAGATCTGATCTGAGCTTAGACAACGACAGCATTTGTTCACTCTGCTTGAGTCGGCCATTGCTATTCCCAAACATGGTATATATAATACAGGGATACCAGCTGAATCACAAATGAGCACTGGAGTCAATGTGCTGTACTGTTCTCACAGTATAACCTGGGTACTTATATATGGGTCTCTATATCTGGAAGTTGTATGAACTGAAATTTAAAAAAAAAGTAAAAGTGATTCGAGAAAAGACAACAAAAGAAACATTCTCCGCTGCAACAATATGTCAACTGAAGCAAGGTAACTTATTAAACATACACGAGCCAAGAGGACGCCCTCCGCAGCGCTTACAGCGACACTTGTTGAGGAGCTGCCTTCTGTCGCCATCGTATGGCATTGCTGTCTTCAGCCATC